CGACCAAGAAAGAGCTTATAATTATGGAAAATTGCCAATTAACGACCAGAACAAATTATATTGTTAAACTATAATGTTCATTTCACCTAAAAAGCGTATTAATTTAAAATCTTATTCAAATTTGGACGAGCGATTGTGATTTTAAGATGATTTAAAAAAAAAAAAAAGAAGTTTCGGTCTGGGTTTTTTCGCTACAAACATTTATATTTTATTATACTGCGAAATATATCACTTTAATCTATTCATAATTTACAGACCTGATCATTTAACGGAAATATGTCGTAGTCAACAAAATATCTTACAGACCCTATAATATTTTTTAAGAGTGCCTTTACTACACCGAGCATCCGTCACTAGGAATAAATATAAGTTCTTGATACTAAGTTCTTGGTAACAAAATGTAACTAAATATAGATATATATTTAAAATTAATTTCTTGCTTTAGATAATATTTACAATGAATAAAAAACCGTATATAGAAACTAAAAAAAAGGTGAAAGTTGACATACCCTAATAACCCTGACAATCATATAAATATTCTTTAAAATCCGGAAAATTCTAAGTTAGATACTCGGGCAAATAAGCAAAAATAAAAAAAAGTAATGTTTGTTAAAAATATATATAAAAAGTAATAAAATTGTACATTGTACTGATGTCAAATGCTAAATTTGCCATTTGACACCAGCTGCCAAATGGCAAATTTAGCTGAAAATCTATGTAACAATATAACCTGAAGATTAAAGCTTATTTTGTCTATAAAACTGCAGTTTTTCAAAATTAATGATACATAATTGCGCAAGCAAAGATATTAAAATGGGAATATAAAATAAAAAATTAACCAAACTTCATAAAATAGTACAATAATAACCAAAGTTTAAGAGCAAAATCCTGGTCAGAACTCGGCACCTCCGGACCGTTTTCAAGACCTACTCGAGGGGGGCAACCAATTGCTGTTCTTTTTTTAGAAAAAATGAGCAGTAGTTGGTTGTCTCTGTCAAATGGGCCTTGGAAAAGGTCTGAGAGGTTGCCTAGTCATGATCAGGATTTTGCATGCTGCATAGATAATAAAATGCCAATATAAATAAAAAATTACCAAAATTTCATAAAATAGCACAATAATAACTATAAATTTAAGAGCAAACACCTGCCTGCAAAATTCAGGTCAGAACTTGACATGCCCGGACCATTTTTGGGACCTGCTCAAGGGGAGCAATCAACCACTGTTCCTTTTTTTAAAAAAATGAATAGTGGTTTGTTGCCTCTCTCAAACAAGTTTTGAAAAGGGTCTGGGGAGTGCCAAGTGATGATTAGAATTTTGCAGGCTGCAAAGATATTAAAATGCAAATATGTAACAAAAAATTAACCAAATTCCATAAAATAGCACAATAATAACCAAAATTTAAAGAGCAAACAAAACAGCATGCAAAATCTAGGTGAGAGCTAGACACTCCTGGGCCTTTTTTGGGACCAGCCCGAGAGTGGCAACTGACCACTGTTCTTTTTTTCAAAAAAAAATGAACAGTGGTTGGTTGCCACTCTCGAACAGGTCTCAGGAAGGGTCCGGGAAGCGCCAAGTAACAACCAGGATTTTGCAGGCTGCACACGGTACAACTAGTTCAAAAAACATTCAAAAATAACATCAAAGAACAACAATTTATACTGCTGTTGCTTTTACAAGAGGTGGTTGCAGGTTAACAATGGCAGCAGCAATTATCCATATATCATCGATTAGAGGGACTAATGTGATAGGCAGAGTGTTCTTTAGAAGTCGAAATTCTTTCAGCCTTCCAATGACACGTTCAATGTGTATTCTTGCACCTGCTATGCGCTTGCAATGATACACTTCAGAGGGTGTAAACTGTCGCTTACTACATAAAAATAGTGGAATTACAGCTTTTACCTGCCTTGATAGAAATAAATCTTGAACATTGAAACCTTTATCAAAAAGTGCAATAAAACCAGGAGTGAATCTTCTTGCAACATTGCAATCTTCAGTGATAAAACGATCTGAGGAAGATCCAGAGTAACCTTTAGAAACAAAAGAGATAGAACCGCCTTTAGTACAAAATATAAGTTTTTTTAATGTGTTTCTACTTTTATAAGAACTATATGTTTGATATTGAGCTTTAGCATTAGCAGGTTTTTGAACAGTTTGTTCAGTACAGTCACCAATACCTTCAACATAAACGAAATCTCCAATAAAATGAGGATGTGTAAAACTTAATGTTTCTTCTGGAGCAGGCCAATAAATTATTGGTTCAAGTTCTCGGGCTAATAAAGTTATAAATGTAGTTAAAATCCTAGACACATGACTTACTGAAGTTTTAAAACGAAATGCTAAATCTTGTAATGGTGAGTCAAGTCGAATACGCATTAAAGTAAGTAACACTTCATCTTCAATAAAAAGCTGTTGTGCTGGACCAGGTTTCCCTGTACTTGAAGGTTTACTAGCAGGACTAAACTGATATTGCTTTGGTTCAAATGAACGTTTATAATCCATAAAATAAGACACTTTTTTATGTTTAGCTTGAACATGACTAACAATATATAAAAAAACATTTTCAGTGGGACACCCAGTATACAATTTTATGACTTTGGGTAAAGAACGCACTGCCTCCCATGTTAATCTTTTATGACTACTTTGTTTATAAAGTGTTGTTGGTGTTAGATAAGTTGCTGGTGTGTTAGTAATTAAATCGATTTGTTGTGGAGAAAGTTGCTGATTAGATGCTGTTGATGATAGACATGGAGGAGATATTGACAGAGAAGACTGTTGGGGAATATTGTCATTATTGTTACTGCTACTAGTAGTGGTACAGGTACTTGAAAAATGTGTATTTTTATGTTTTTTAGAAACTGTAGTAGGTGTATATCGAGGAATTGGTAATTTTCTTTTATTTTGAGGAGAAGATATTTCGTATCCTTTCAAATATAACTTTGGATGAGGGGATAGCTCAGTTGGCTTCCCATACTCAAAATGATTTGCACATACTTTTGTATTCTTATTTACAGCATATAGCTTTCTTTTTTTTGTTAAAGGATCGACTATTTCTCTGTTAATAATTTTACTCCATGTGGAAAAATATTTCTCTTTACAAGTAAAAAATTTTAATTCGCTGAAACTAAAAGTCTTATAAATATGATCTTTCAAAACATACTTTTCTTTGTATCGACGATCGTTGTTACAACCAAAAATTGCACAATGATTGCTCTTACCCATTACAAAAGAGTGTTGCAAATAAAAAAAATAATAGTCATAAACCAAATAGATAATAATGGTCAACTTTTAAAAAACTAAATAGAAACAACAGGATATTTACGAATTTAACTTTTGTTTGCTCCCAGGCATTCCCAAAATGCAATGCGTAGTTATAATGACGTCGTTATCTGGCAAAAGGTCAATTAAAACTACAATACTACAATTAAAAGGTGTTTTAGTAATGGCGCCATTATTGTAAGATGTTTTAATAATGGCGATTCTCGTATGAAGAGGTTCCTATTACTTTTTAGATAATTGTTAGATAACATATTTTTTTTTATATTTATATATGTATATAGACAAATAAAATATACAAAGATTGTTTATATAGTAAAGAAAAACTATATATAACTTTATATGACATATACTGTGTCGTGACATGTTTTTTTTTACTTTATGTCATTAAATTTTCTTTATTTTTATATATTTTATATTTTTTATGTCATATTAGATATATATAAAAATAATGAAATTTAGACTGATTAACTAATCTTTTTATTATATTACTGTATGAGTATAAAATCCTATTTTACTTACTGTCATTTATATTTTAAGTATTATAGTTTTTTTTTTAAACGTAATACTTAAAATATAAATGTCAGGAAATAAAATTATAAAATTAAGATTTTATACTCATACAGTAATAATATAATAAAAATCAGTCTATAAATCTAAATTTTCATTATTTTTATATATACGTAATTTTATTCCCAGTGGCTACGGTACCGGCTGCTGGATCTTTAGCTCTAGCAGCTAGAGTACCGGCTAGTCTGGGTTCTACCTAATGACGATGACGTAACTTTTAGATGGTTTATCATCCGCAGTAGTTTTAGGAAACCGGTTGGTAATATTTATTTTATTTGAGGAAAATGAATGTTGGAAATCTGTTTAATTGTTTTAATAATCCTTAATAAATATTTAAAAAAATTATATTTTTATACGTTCGTGATTTGTTAAAACTGATAAATTATATTTTAGTTATTTGTTAAACTTTACTTGTTATACTTTACTTGTTAAACTTTACATATTATACTTTACTTGTAAAACTTTACTTGTTAAACTTTAGATATTATACTTTACTTGTTATACTTTACTTGTTATACTTTACATTTTATACTTTAATTAATAAACTTTACTTGTTATACTTTACATTTTATACTTTACTTAATAAACTTTACTTGTTATACTTTACATTTTATACTTTACTTGATAAACTTTACTTGTTATACTTTATTTTTCAAAATTTACTTGTTATACTTTACTTGTTAAACTTTACTTGTTATACTTTACATTTTATACTTTACTTGATAAACTTTACTTGTTATACTTTATTTTTCAAAATTTACTTGTTATACTTTACTTGTTAAACTTTACTTGTTATACTTTGTTTTTCAAACTTGACTGATTGTACTAATTTGTTTAAAAGCAACCATTGAAAATTATAATGTATAAATAGTGTAAAAAATACATAAAATTAAAACTTAAGACTTTACATAGACTATGTTAATATGTTAGGCTATGTCATAGCATTTTATGGAGAAGAGTTAATCAGTTGTGTTGTGTTTTTTCTTAAGTTAATTTTTGTGTTTTAATAAAATTTATGTATTTTATCAGTAAATAAGAGACCAAAAAACAAAATTTACTTGTTTTTTATTGTTCATGGTTTTACTCCCAAAAACCATTTTAATGTGTTTTTTTTTGTTTTTGTTTTGTTTTAAATTTTCAAAATTTTAATGGTTTTTGTAATTGTTTGGTGCTATTGTTTTTTTGAGCTTCAATGACTGCTTAAATCCATAATATTATAATTTAATGTTAGTTTTGTATTAATACTTTTTAATATTGACCCCGTTCATATCCATACTATTTCAGAAACAAGATATAACATTGTGATACCATATATTAATACAGTTTGCAAAGAAACGCTTAATACTTCTACATGCTCAAGCTGATTCATTTGGAATTGGTTATAGTTGTAGTTTTATTTACTTGTAAAGTTTTTTCACTGTTAATATGTCAGTTTTACATTATTACATAATTTGTTTACTACTAATACAATACTTACACTACAGTTTTCAATATTTAAAATATATAAAATTGTTGTAATTTTTTGTTACACCTTTAGTCTCTTCCTTCAGCCAGTTCCATTTTATGTTGCTAGAATGTTTTCATCTTTCTCACAAAACATTGGTATCCAATTTTTTGGTTGGCACATATGGTTCCTTGTCTAGATTGATACTATTTTATTGAAGGGCATTGCATGGTAATGAATTTTAAGGGCTGCTATAAAATAACTATCAAACAGCTATCATTTTACTTCCCATAAAATTATATATTAATAATTTTTGGCAACTTGATTTTCATTAGTGATTAGTGATTTTCAAATGTATTGATTTAGGGTTTGGTAACAACATCTTGTTTTACATCAGAAGTTGGTCAACTTGCTATAATTACTATATGTATATGTTATGATATATTGAAAATTTTAATATTTGTCTTGATATGACTTTAAGTTATGTCATGGCAGATGAATTTTCATGAATTCATGATGTGTTAACAACTTGATGTGAAGTTAATTTTACAATAAAAAATGATGAGTTTAAAAAAGCAAAAAGGTTAGTTTTTTATTAATTCATCATAAATTTGCAGTTCAAATTTTACTTTTTATACTTTATTTGTTAAAATTTACTTGTAATAAATTACTTGTTACTTTAAAAAAAAAAATTCTATACAGATCTAATCAAATACACTTACAACACACCACAAAACCTGCACCAAACTTTTATTGTGAAGATTTTAATCTTATTTTTAAACCAAAAGTATAACTTTTAAGTTAACTTGTAAGCTGGTATTTAATGGCATTTAATAAATAAATGATATTTAATTACATTTAATTAATTGTATTAAATACCTTTTATATAATCTTATATATAATCATGTTTTTATTTTTGCATTGCATGGTGAGTGGCATATTCAGAACGATTTTGAAACATTACTTCAGTTTAAATGCCCAAATTCCAGTACTTATTAATTCATAACATTTTTGAATAAGTGTTTTATATAAAAAGTAATAGATAAACCTATAAATATAAATGTAAAAATACAGTAGCATACAAAAGTTTAGAAACACCTACTTTTTTTCAGTTTTTAACGCATAACTTTTCACAAACTTTCTCAAATAACCTGACATTTTTACCGAATGTGCTCTATATAATTACAATTCAAAATCCATTTCACAAAATTTTTAAAACTCGCCGGTCAATGAATTTTTATTGTTTTTTTGAAAAAGCTTCCGTGCAAAAGTATAGAAACAGTATAATAACCCGCAATTATATCAGGTTTTTGTAAACAAAATCATTATAAAAGGTCAAATTTTTTCCGAAGTTATTCGAATTACTGTGAGGTTATTCGAATTACCTTGAGATATTTCAATTATTTGAATTACCTTGAGATATTTCAATTATTTGAATTACCTTTAGATATTTCAATTATTTGAATTACCTTGAGATATTTCAATTATTCGAATTACCTTAAGATATTTCAATTATTGAGACTGATAGATTATTAGTAAGGTATTGCAAGAATACTCCTCACATGACTGCTGTCGAACTTAATTCAATTATGCATCAGATTCATGGCACAAACTGTAGCGTTGATACAACTAAACGCCGATTATGACAAAATAATCTGTATGGTCGCCGTTCAGTTAAGAAACCTCTTATATCTGCAAAAAATTTAAGAACCAGAATAAAATTTGCAAGAGATCATCTCAGTTGGACATATAATGATTGGTCAAAAGTTCTTTTCTCCAATGAATCAAAGTTTATGCTATTCAGTAGTGACGGTATTAATGTCATACGTCCTATAGGAGACTGATTCAATCCAAAATATCAGTTACCTACTGTTAAACATGGAGGAAGAAGTGTTATGGTTTGGGGGTGTTTTAGTCGTGACAACCTGAGTCCCATTCATCACATAGAAGGTATTATGGACCAGAGAGTTTATTTATACATAATAAAGAATATTACGCTGCCACATGCAAAAGACAAAATGAATCGCAGTTGGATCTTTTAACAAGATAATGACCCAAAGCATTGTACCAGATCTGGAAATGGATTTTGAATTATAATAATATAGAGCACATTTGGTAAAAATTTCAGGTTATTTGAGAAAGTTAGTGAAAAGTTATGAGTTAAAAACTGAAAATAAATAGGTGTTTCTAAACTTTTGCAAGTTACTGTAGATCTATATTTAAATACTCCATTGTTGACAAATTGGCTTAGAATTCTAATAATTGAATGTAGCAGCTATATGAAGGTAAGCAAAAAATAGTATGGCTCAAATTAAGGTTTTGAGAGAAAAAAAGCGCTGAGCCGACATCATAGCAATTTCCAAAAAACATGTAAGTGCTGCTATTTTGATGACATTGATTGATATAGAAATAACATGCAAGGGAGTGCTGTTTCATAGGGATTAAGTCAAGGCATAGATAAATCAGTTGATGTATCATCACTCCATCACAAGTTTTTTTCTAAATATTATATTTGGTCTTTTTTTTTTTTTGAAAACTCAGAACCCTACTAATTTATCTGAACAAACATTTTTCAACGAACTTTTGTGGCAAGTAATTGATTAAAAAAACGTTAATGTAATTATTATGTATTTAATTTATTTTGGTGGCTTGTATTTATTTATATTGTATATTTATATATAATGTATATCTAATTTATTCAATTTGTATAATGTATTTAATTTTTATTTATTGAATCAGATAATCTGTGACAACACAGATTATCTGATTCAAAATTATCTAAAAAAATTAAAAAAGCTTTAGATGTTTCAAAATCAACAACAGATCATATAATGATAATAATAGCAAAAAGATAATAAAAATTGGGTATTATACTTGTTTCCATTTCAAATCCAATAATTGTTATTTCATTAAAAACATTTAGGCTTCTTGAAGAGTAATCCTTTTTTTATTTTTTTGGCTTGAATTTTAAGGCAATATTTGAAAAAAAAAAACATTTCATTAAAGAATAATTATTCAAACAAGTCATTTAAGAATCATTACTCAACCTTCTTTGAAGATTACTGGCTGACAGTTTCATTGAAGTTACACATCATAATTCAACATGTATCTTCATTTGCAAAGATAAGCTCATTACTTTATGTTTATATTATTAACAAAAAGCAGCAGCAATTTACTGCTGCTTTTTGTTAATAATATAAAACTAAAATATTGTCATGCTTTGCGTAGTTTCCAAACTATGGGAATCCCCATGGTTTGCATACTTTGCAAAAAAATAGCTTCAGCAAAAACTCTGTTGAATATGTGTGAATACTTAATATACAACATAAATGCAGTTATATATCACTTTTATATACTTATACAAACAAAAAAAATATTTTTTATTTGTGAGAAACTTTATGAAAATTATTTAGTTCTACAAGTTACATAAATATAAAAATAGGAAGTAGCAAGAAGATTCATAGACAATATATATAAATTTTATCAATAAAATGAAAATTCTAAATTAATTAATCCTTGGAATTATGATCGGTATTCAGTTATTTAATATTATAAAATGATAATATCAAATGAATACATATATATAATATCAATGTATCAATAGAATATTAAATAAAAATATAAAATAAAAATTATTTTTTAATGTTTGTTATGTTTTACTTTTCACAATGCTGAAAAAGTTTTGCATTCTATATTTTAACTGAAATAAGACTAAAATGGCTTTTTACAAAATAGTAACTGAACACTTAATTTAAAGTTTTCCTATTTTATACCACACTATTTTCTATAAAAACAAGTAAAGAAAAAAAAAACTAACCTTTTTTTATTGCGTTAACATTTTAGAAATAATCTTTTTTTTTTAATCAATTCATGTTGATATAGCAGGTTGCGAGCGCTTCATGAATTCAAGAAAATTCATCTATCATGGCATATCATTAAGGCATGTCATGACAAATTTAAAAAATTTTCAATGTATCATGATATATCAGTATAATAATTGCTTCCAGTTAACAAGCTTCCAATAAAATACCATGCAGCTTGCATGACCTAAATTAACACATAATAGATAATAAGCAGTCAAATATAATTAATTCACTAATACAAAGAGCTAATAACAGGTAGTAAACAGGTAGTGTGGCTAGTATTTGACTGGAGTTGGGTTTGATAAAACATACCTGACCTAATGACAAGGTCTCTAAAATTTATGATACTATTTTAGATAGCCTTTTTAAATTCAAAATCGAGAACCTTTTTTTTTTTTTAAATGGAAAACATTTTTGAATTTTTAGGAAAAACATCATTCCCATCCAGGCAAAAAAGTTGTCCAAATTGTCCAAACCTAAAAAGCTTAACTTGACAATCTATATATCTATATATCTATACATCTATATCTATATATATATCTATACATCTATATCTATATATATATATACAGATTGCAAAATTCAACTTTTATGGTTTCGGCAGTCTAATGCTAAGGGCTTGACTCCGAAAGTAACATATACCTCAGCATTGTGGGCAAAATTGCACTTAAGTTTTCTTGTTATTTCTTGAATGAAAAATGATTTTCTTACATGTTATTATAATAGGTTTTAGAAATTTTCTTCTATAGTTTTTAGGTAGATTATAACCTTTTTTAAAAATGATCAAATATTTACTTGGTCAAGAATAAAATCCACACCCACCCTTTTATTTAAGCGTTCCTTTTTTCTATTTTTATTTAAATAACAAGAAAATAAAGAATTTTTTAAATTGCAAAGGCTAACTTAAAAATGACCATCCAGCCAGCACTTTTTTGGGCGCTGGGATTAAATTTCAAACACAAAAAAATTTCTAAAAGTTTATATCAATTAGATTTGAAGTCAACATCAATACTATTTGATGAGTTTTGAGGATATAAAGTTTTTATACCATCACATAACATCTCTTTACCAGTATCATCACATAATATCTTCTTACCTTTTTCAGCAGGGTGATTCAAATTAGTTTCTATTAAAAAATCCACAGGTGATTCCAGGATTGACACATCTATGCTTTTATTTTCCTCCCAAACTTTAGCTAGATTTTGTAGAACATTTAACCTGATTTCAAATTCATTATTGTTACTTTCTGAGACTAGTTGGGCTAAACGCTGCGAAAGACGATATGCTTTTTTAAATTTTTCAGATTGTGTCAATGGTCTTTCCTTAACAACACCTAATCCCAGATGACTAAGGTTTTCATTTTGGTGTTGGAAAAGTCTATGGTTTTCAATAGAATGAGCCTTAAGCCATCTCACACCAATGCCATCATATGAAAATAGTGGCAAATGTTTCACTCACCTTGCAACAAACATATGTTTACATGGTAATGCCATTGATTTAAAAAATATACATTGACACTTTTGCTCGCTTATCAACACCTTATGACCTAATATTTCTAAGGTTGGATGTTCATTTTCTTCAACAGGGTTTAAACCTATTGCTTCTTCGAATTGACTTGCTACAAACATTTGTGCATAAGGTGTTAATATTTGAGAAAATTCTTTTAGAACATCATTTTGTAAAACAGCATGCACAGAGATACGCTCGCCAGCAGTGATAAATGTATGATCTCTTTCTTTTCGCATGCAATCAATTACAGTAATAAGGTCTTTGAAAAAAAGAGGAAGAGGGTTAAGTAAATTTAGGACAGCTTTGATTCTTCTGTTCACAGACTCTAACCTATTTGTAGTTCGCTGTCCAAAAGTTAAATTCTGCTGTTGCCAACAATACACCCATTCAGTTATGCAATTGTTCCAGTTATTTTCAAAATAACGAACAACACTCTGTGGCATTTTGGCAACAAAATCATCTCTCTGTTTTTCAAAGTCTATTTCAGATGAGGCATAAGCCATTTTTTGTAGAGATTTTAATGCATGTATTCGCTGGCTTTCTGAAATTCCCATTTTCAAAACAGTAACTTCTCGACTCATTGCTCGTAGAACATGAAATAGGCATAGTAATAAAACTGCATTTGGAAAAGTTGTTCTTATAGAGTCTCTTTCTGCCATGTCTTTATCTGTGAAAATAGTGACAATTTTAGTCCATTTTTCATTTCTTGATTTAAATGTTTCCAGCACTTCACTTAGTGTTACTGAATCCTCGGATGCAGTTACAAAAATTGTTACTATTTCACTTTCACCATTCGGTCCTACAGCCAGCATAATATATAATGGCATGCGTAAATTTGTTAATTTGTAGGTTGCATCCATCAAAATTAGCTCTGGATACAATGAAAAAAATCTTTTCATTTCTGCATCTTGGAAAAATATTGATTGAATGACTCCACTATTATCGCATTTTATGTCCACATCCGCACCTAAAACAAAATATAAGTTTGACTAAAGTGAAGCAACTTAGAGCAATGCAATATAAATTATAATCTAAAATCTACCAAAATAATATATATTATGTTATATTATATGAAATATTACATAGTGGTTATATAAATCAGGTCTAATATAAATAATATTGTGCGTTAGTAAAATTGTAGTGTTAGTAGTAAACAAATAGTGCAAAACAAACATTTACGAATATCTACCAAACAAGACCAATTGAAAATATAGTAGCTAGTAATGGTGATAAATTTCATATTCAGTTGGTTCTTTTTTTTTTTTTTTTTGCAGTAGTACGTCACTTAACATAATCTTGTTTCTGAAAATGTTATAAAATACTAGTATTGATATCCAATTTTTTTGAACTATTTAAAAAAATAATTAACTTAAAATAAAATTAAATTAAAAAAAATATTTAAAGTAATTTGTTAAACAGCAGCATTAATCAGCGAAAAAAACTAACCATCACAATTTTTAAAAACTCCAAGTAAAGACTCTATATCTGTGGAACCTTTCTCCTTAGATGCTAAATTATGAAGATCTTTTAATGTTATTTTCTTTCCTATTAGTGATAAATGAGATTAATTAATACATAGTAAATTGTACCAAACATACATATATATGTATGTTTGGTACACACAGATATATTTACCTATCTATATATATAGATACAAATATATAATATATACTTAAATATATATAATATATATATATATATATATATATATATATATATATATATATATATATATATATATAACAATTATAATTGTATTAATATTTACAAATATAAATATAAATATATATATATATATATATATATATATATATATATATATATATATATATATATATATATATATATATATATATAATATAATTATACCATACAAATATAAATATAAATATAAATATATATAAATATATATATATATATATATAAATATATATATATATATATATATATATATATATATATATATATATATATATATATATATATATATATATCAGGGGATTAGGGGCTATTCTAGACCGTTTTCGACAACATTGACTGCATTTGGTTTTTGTAGGTATTAAAATACCAACAAAAACACTCAAATTAAAACTTGAGGACCTTTTTTTTTATTTATGTTTTTTACAACAAAAATTATTATCTTTGCAAAAAAAACTGCAGATTTTCCCCTAAAGTTATATATGCCTTGGTTGGGAACAAGAGCTTAACTCCCCACCAAGGAGTTTTGCCCACACCTCCTTAAAATGGTTTACAGGAGCAATTTACAACTCTTGCAAAAGTATCATTTTGTATAAAAAAAAATAATTCAAATAAAAAAGGCAAAGTTAAAGTTTTAGATTAACAAATTTGCGATTTAATTTTTTAGGTTTAATTTTTTTGATATATAATATATGTAAGTTATTTTATACTGCAACAGTTATGTTTAGTCGAGCAGAATTATAGTATCAAAAATGTAAGTAAAAAAATCACACAAAGTTAAAAAAGAAATAGAAAATAAAGAACTTTTTTTTTCAAACACAGATATGTAGTTCAGAGAGATTTATTTTCCTAAAATTCTTTTCTTTGAAATACAGTGTAATTTAACTATAACGTTAATGTCAATATGATCAAGTCGGCAAAGTTGTTTATAAAAGTATTATGGTTGTAACTAAGATGAAAAACGCAAATTCCTGCATTCTATTGCAATAAGAAAATGTAACATGCCTATTAGCAGGAAAAACTTTATAGCTCTTTGTTTGTCAAATTTTTTATTATATATGTATGTATATATATATATATATATATATATATATATATATATATATATATATATATATATATATATATATATATATATATATATATATATATATATATATATATATATATATATATATATATATATATATATATATATACATATATATATATATATATATATATATATATATATATATATATATATATATATATATATATATATATATATATATATATATATATATATATATATATATAATTTACAGTTGTAACGTTTAATTTTATTGCTACTAAGACTACAAATACAATTAGAATTTCAGACTCGCTTTGCTCATATTTTAATAAATGGCACCTGTTTCATTTTGAACATGCTCATGAATAAGCCATTTATTGCCATGTATCTTTAACATTTATTTAACATCTTTCTCTTGATCCTCGTTTAGTTTCCTAACTTTTGGAAGTCTTTCAATTATTTCCTACATAATAAATAATTTGAAAAATTTAATAATTTTATCATTTTAAGCATATAAAAAAAACTTATTTATAAGCTGCAAATTGTTACTTCTAAAATTTTGCTTTAAAGGTAAATCTTTATAAGAAACTTGTTTATAGTTCAAAGAATATTTTTTTAATTTGCCTCTATTTCAGGTCAACATAGACAAAGTTAAAACAAAGTATTATCTATAACAGAAAACGTCACTTTAAATGAATATTTAATTTGCATGCGCATTCAAACTCATTCACAATTGTATTATTTTTCTTTTTTCTTTTATCTGATAGTAATATGGAACTCAATATTTGTTTCTATCAAATATGTTGAAAGTATAAAATAATTATTGATTATTAAAAATTTATAAACAAAATATAAAAACAGAACATTTAAAAATATAATTAAAAACTTAGAATTCTTTTTTTGTCGCACTCCTGTCTAGTTGAGTTTACCTTATGTCAAATGAAACTATGAGAAAATTTTTTCAACTTTTTTTATCTCTGCTATTATGAAATATTGCTGCTGTTATAAAAATAATTCCTGACAGTCTGTTCAGGGTGGCCAGCCCCTTTGTACAATCAAATCAAAAAACCCTGACTTTTCCCTGACTCTGATAATTAAAAATCTGGAATTTCAAAAAGAAAAAATTATAATAATTACTTTTTAAACTAGTGTTTATTGTTTGTAAATGTCTTTCAGTCTAATAGCAAAGATTTAATCAGGGAAATGAAAACTATGTAAAAAAAAGTAATCATTTAAGTAAAATCAAAAGGCTAAATTTTGACTTAATGAATGACTTTTGACGGGAAAATAGCAAAATCCTAGACTTCTCCCTGTCAGGGAATCAGGGACCCTGACTCTCCTAACCACCTTTCCTGAACTTTTCCATAATTTCCCTTATTTCATGTATACTGGTCACCCTGCTATTCAGCAAAAAACTAATACCTTTATATAGTAAAAAAAACAACAGATTTACTTTGTCAATTGCATGGTTGTGCTCATTAATAACTTTTGTCACACAGAACCTTTCACCATCTTCAGTAACACCAATGCAAATAGTAAATGGACATTGAATTTTATAGGTACTATGTATAAATAATATAAATAAGTCTACATATAGCATCTTTAATGAAACGAAATCTTCAGTTTACAAAAAAATATTGTAGAAATAAGTTATGTTTTATTGTCAATAAAACATATAAAACTCAATAATATTAAGTAACTTTAATTATTATTTACAAATACCTTTGGTTTGGACGAAGCCCTTTTGATCTCGATTTAAATTGACGTCCACCATGATAGCAACAGTAAGTTAAATAATAATATTTTAAATCTTTATTAATATATCGTTGCAAACCTTTTTTAATCGCTAAATCAATTGTTCGACTATCTCGAACATAAAGAGATACAAATCTTGATTTTTCATATTCTTTAATTGCTAGCTTAAGCTCATTAAAATTATTAAAAATATCTCCTACATTCATTCTATTAACAATCAGCGCGGATAATACTAACGATTAAGTCGTAAGTAATTAATTGTAAGTAAATTTTATGTATCAGAAGCAACTTTTAAATAATCAAAGACTAAGAAGGTAGAAACATGATTC